CATGCAAACGATTTGGTAGTTTGAGACATCATTAAGGTATCCAACACCATCTGCCATGACTTTTGCTTTTCCTTGCAAAGAAATTTCACCACAAATGTGATTAATTCTAAGAAAAATCAAAAGAAGGAATTAAGACTGCTTCAACTTACGATATGTAATTAATACTTGCAAAGATCCACAATACATTGTCAATTAGCAGGTGTATGAATTGATTAAGATGTGGTCTTTCTAATATCATAACATCTCTTAAGGGATTCAATGCATCCAAGGAAAAGGCCTTTACACTATACATATAATTTATTAATAATTGATTATGACTTTGTAAATGAGATCATCTGAACTTCTTACTTACAACTGCCCCAGTGTTCCTTTAAGCAACTCTTTTGCACATTGCAGTAATTCTGAATCCTTTTCATTAATGACTATTCTCCGAACTGATTCGCACCATCCTTGTTTGCCATGATCAGCATTAAAAAAGTCAGTGAGGAAACTGTGGATTTCATTTGTTATATAGTCATTGTCTATTTCATCAAAAACTTCATGTAAAATATTATCTTGCAACTCTTGGTCTAATGAAAGGGATAGTTTTGAATATAGCTGAAGGTCCATGGCAGGACAATCATCAAAATTTGAGTGATATAATTTTAAAATATCTTGTTCAGCCTGAGTTGCTGTTATACCACAATCAAGAATGTCATGTATAATTATCTATAGAAAACAAAACAAATTAATATTTTTCTTATCAGATCCATGTGCAAAAAAAAAAGATGCAGACCTTGTCTTCATCTACATATTCTTCCCTGTTTATATTGCCATCATTGTCACATTCCTCCTTTTTATCATCGGCATTATCATCATTGCTGGTACTACCTACTACCTTCCTTATTTTTATCTTCAATGCTATTATTATTACTGTTACCACCTTCCTCATTTTTATCTTCGATGCTATAATGATTGCTACTACCACCTTCCTCATCATTGTCATTATTCTGCAGAATAATTAAAATTTTAAATACATATCTACAATCAATAAAAGACTAACTCAGAAGATTAATAATGATACCTTTTGTTTTCCTCCATTCATGACAATGGCGTTTAATTCTCGGTGTACCTCCACATTCGTCTCATGAACTTCATCACGAATTGACCCCTATCAGATT